TGGGTCTGTTTCTCCCTATGAGCTCTAGCATTCCCTTCATCCAGATCAAGTTCTCCACCTTGTGCCGATATTCTTACTTCTACGGATATTATGTATCATTGCAACCAGACGCAACTTAAGTGTTGCAGCTGAAAAACGCTGTGCCCTTATTGCACCTCATTGCCCTTGTGTGTTCTGCATTTAACAACGAACGTAGTAGTATTTAATTTGTTTTAAAACTGTGGCATCTTTGTCATTTAAAAAGCAACAATATACCTAATAATAGCCGAACAATAAAGCTCATTTACAAAGCACTAAAATCAGGATAATTATAATAATAATAAATAATAATAATAATAATAATAATAATAGGAAATTACAAAAATGACAGAAAACAAATAAATGGCAGTATACCCCATATCATGCTATTGAGCCACTTTCAACTACGACGGGAAATTCCAGCACTGCGACAGCCCTAAATGTTGTCTGTCCTGTGTTGCTGGTAGTTGCTCGGCTCTGAGAAAAACAGAAAGCCATTGGGTTGTCTTTACAAAAGCAGCGCCAACAATAATACCACTTGGAAAGGTCTTTACTGCTCAAACAATTTGTCGGAATCCCTCCTAATACAAATATATCTAAAAATTGTTACTTAAAAGTGTAGACATCATTTGAAACATTTTTTATTTCTGTACTATCTTGATACTTGAAATCATTGTGGTGTCCCAGTAAATTACAATTTAGTGATAAATTCAACACTAATTTGCTCATAATGTCAGAGAAATCACAGACAACTGAAAAAGCAGTAATGTCATAGGAGCTGTGTTTCAAAATCTTATAGTTTATAATGACACATATCATTTAAAATGTAATCAAAATCATCCTATGGTGATAGCACCCATATTCTGTCATTGTAGTATTGCCAAATTTGTGTCAATAAAGAAAATTCTTTGACAACCATTAGCCAATTTAAGACTCCTTTCTGGCTTGTACATTTTGAGTTTACAAACACGTCACTGTTGGAAACCCTGCAACTGCTCTAACTTTTTACAACCACCTTTTTAGCTTGAAGGTGTCTAATACTAAAAAAAGACATCTTGGGTGGAGTAGAACTTTAATGACACAATCCCTAATTTTGTTTTAGCACCCAATAACGCCCCCAAATCCTATAAATTTCCTTGAAACTGAACTGTCAGCTGCTTTGAGTTTTAAAAACACCAGCAGCTGGGAACTGGAAGGAAAATTTAGGACATGACGGCACTATCATCTGCCACAAAAATCAAGTCCAAAATTATTTTTACAAACTGGACAGTTCTCTTTGAAAGGTTCTGCATGACCTTCACACAGTCCTTTTTTCTTTGCCAAACTGGACATATATTTCTTTTTTAATGAAACTTGTACTGATAGTGTTGGCATCACAGCTAAAACTCGGCTCTTAATTTAAGCTAAATTAGAGTTGGATAATAAATCTGATTAATGCTTTGGTCTTTATTGTGGCAGTTCCCTCTTGGCAGGTGGTGTTTGGGGAGGCCTGAGTGATACTGGCACTGCCTGTTGAGCAAAAATGGGTTGTTGCCAACATACAGTATGTTACAAATATGTTGGCAACAACTCGTGTGTTGTACTTAGAGATAAATGAAAAGACGAAGCATGTATGATTGGTGCAAAACACGGAACCTAAAGAGACGTTTGTTTCCTGAGAGACTGACACCAAATCTCATTTTTATCCTTGATGTTTTAGAACCTTATATGATATCAGACTCCAGTGTGCCTATGTGGTGAATGCAGGAAATGTTGAGTGCGTCACATTATTGGCCACTTATTCTCAGGAATAACAAAGATGCACTGCCAAACAGCAGCGAGGACGTTGGAAAGCACAATGTATCAGCAACAGCCATTTCTTTTTAATGTGTAAAAGAGTTTTTCAATGTTCACAAAGGCCCCTGGGTACAAACCTAATCAGCCTGGCTCTTGAATTATGAATGAGTATAATCTCTAGACTGATCACTGTAAGGTATTACAAGTATTCTTGTAAACAAAGCTCAATTACATTTTGGATAAATACTCATTTCTTTTTTTGTGTGTTTTTAATCAATGTGTTTTTCTTTATTGTCACTGTTATAGTTTTCCTTATTCCAGAATCTCAGTTTGACAGCACTTAAGGTGACACGGACTTAAATCTTTAAGACTATTGTCAGTCTAAAAGGATGAGGCAACTGAGCTCAATCCTGCTTTGTTAGTTCTCAAAAATCTCTTCTTTCAACCAGAGGAATACAGTGTTTTCCCTCTAAATGTTTTTAGTGCCAACAATAGCACCAAATATCCATTTGCCATTTGCGTTTGTGGGGGCCCTTTTGCGGCGCTGTCCATAAGCATAATTTATATTCACTAATTTCATTTCAGCTCTGTGTGAGAGTCTTTACTGAGTTTTGCTGTATTTTACAGACTTCTCTTTGTGTTTCACCAAGAACAGAGCTTCACCTGTCCACATCAATGACTGTGTTTACAAGGTCTTTAGTATCCCGGTTTTGATTGGGTTTTTTAAGTATCCTGTTTTTGTGTTTGTGCATGTAAACACCATATCCCGAATTCAGAAACCGGGTTATGCCCTTTTCCCGGTTTCAAGAAACCTGGTTTTGCCACCTGGAGTACTCCGATAGAAGCCGGGATACTGGAGCATGTATACGCCTTATCCCGGTTTCATGAATGGTTCAACTACGTCACACAGCCGGCTGAAGGATGCCCTACTCATTCTGAAGTTTTCTCTCCACTCTGAATCTGTAAACTCCATGAGAACGATCCTATCCCACCAGTCACGGCTACGTATTTTCATCCACTGTTGCCTTGTACTGCGTGGTGAATACCAAATATCAAAGTTGGTGACGTATTCAATATTTGTTGTCGCTCTCTCCTCCCATTGCTGAAGATGAAGTGGATGAGCCATAGCTGTAATGCGACGTGAGTATTTACTAACGCTAAGCCCGCTAGAAGCCACAGAGGTCTCATTTTTGTCTTGCTTCTAAATATAATAAAATATCACATTTCCCGCTCAATCTGTTGTAAACAAAAGACGTAAAAGACGAAACACACGCCTGCGCAGATAGGATGCAGTGATCAGAAAACGGGTTACTGGTATTTATCATGTATACAGGGATATGAATAACCGGGTTTCTCTGTGTTCCATGTAAACATCATATCCCAGATATGCTCAAAACCGGGATACTAAAGACCTTGTAAACACAGTCACTGAGTGTATATAAAGATGGACAACTCGTCTCCACTTCCTCCTACTGTACAAAACTGAAGCCAAAATATCTCAGATACGGTTGCTGCCATCTTGTGCAGGTGATGTCATTCGATATCTCCACGGTATTAAGTTCCCAACACCCGACCAATGTTGAGCAGCACCATTGATCTTGAGCACACAAATTAGCACACGCAGCTGTCAATCATGAGCTCAAACTCATCAGACTAATTAAAACTGAGCTTATCAGAAAAATGAGCACTTGAACATATATTAGCATTACAAGAACTACCTAAAAGGGCAGGAACCATCTTTGGGAAAAAATGTATTTCACGTGTACTTTGAGATTTCTGAGATTTTAGTTTGGCCCATGTGCTATCTATTAATGAGGAGGGAGCAGGATTTATGACCCATACTGCAGCCAGCCAGCAGCGGGCAATCCAGATGTTTTGGTTTTAATTTTGAGAAGCTGTCATGTCGTTCATCTTTATTTTACAAAGATGGACCAAACGTCTGAAAATCAAACCGACGTATCTGTGTTATTTGAAAGGCACTGGCAAACCTGAATCAGTGGTGAGTATGCTAGCAACTCTGCAGCTGATGGGAGGGAAGCTAGTCCTGACCAGAGCAGGAGCAGCTCTCCTCTTGGTACAACTGCAACCCAAAAAGTCACAGAAAGATCCACTTTGATCTGTCCTGGCTGTTAGAGAGGAGAAACTTCTCCTGGCTCTACAAGACCAATATTGGTAAGCTTAGGTTCAAAAGTAAATAAAAATGTGTAAACCTAATGTTCTTGCTGTTAAGCCATGTTATGTGTTTAAGTGGACTTAATTTCATTGATATTAATATTGTGATGAATTAATCGACCCTTCACTTAAGCCCTGCCCCGCCCCGTTGCTGTTAGCCGTTGATGGTTGGTCAAGCTGCATGGAGCTCACACTGCATTATAGTGTTTGATTTTCCCCGTGCCACCAGGGCCCAGACATCCGCCAACCAAGTTTTTCCATTTCCTGTCACTTCTCCTGTAATGCATCTTCGAGGGGTGGGACTGAGCAAATTATCAATTGAGTTAGCATACACCTCCCATCTGAGGCCTATCCGCCACCCCAAAAAACATCACAGAGACACAAAATGACTGCAAAGAGACAGAAAATGGTGCAAAACTACTACAAAGAGGACGAAAACAGCCACAAGGGTGCATCACCCTAATGAGACACAAAATCGTTTTGTGTCCCTCTTAGCCTGGGTGTCTTAATCCTATGTAGGAGGGTGGGGTGGGGGGAGGGGTCATTACATGTCTGTGTCCAGGGGTCATTGTTAATCTGGCCATGGCTGTATGCCACTTTGAGTTACAAGCCCCCGGGGGTTTAAATCTCAATACATTCTTATTCATTTCCCAAATGTGCACCCCACCCCCACCCCCATTCAAAACTTTATAAACCCACCCCTGCTCTGAGCAGTGAAGTTTGGCTGGCTTTCCTCCTGTCACTCACACATTACATCATCATCCGCTGATCATCAGGTGCCAGTATGATGCATGGAAACACACACTGACACACACACACCTCCCACGCAACATAACATCTTGCCAGCCTCTGTCTCCCCTGCATTACTGTTCATCAGTCATGATGTATGTCTGTGTGTGTGTGTGTGTGTGTGTGTGTTACCTGATCTCCATCCAGGTGTGTCATTTATGAGGGCTTTTGACTATGAATTGGCCATTTGCATAGGACATCTCTGTGTGTGTGTGTGTGTGTGTGTGTGTGTTGCCATTGCCTACCTTTCATCCAGTCCACCACCTGGCTCGTGCTCCATTTGCTCACCGGCTCCATCACCAGCGCCATCGAGGAAACTTTGCGCCGACTCTCCGTTGCGCGCGAGCGGTGCCGTTACCCCCCCCCCCCCGCTCAAAACAAAGCTCTGTCAGCCGGGCACAGCTCCCCCCCACCCCGACCCTCCCGCCCTCCCTTCTTCCCTTCTTCCCCTCCCTCCGCAGCCAGGTGACTCCTTCTCTTTACACTATCCCGGTCCGGTCCTGCCGCCCCTGGCTCAGCCCGGTGTCGTGTCCCGTTAACGCAGCGCAGCCCTCAGTGCGGGACAGTGTGCGCAGCGGAATCCGGTACATTCCCCTGCTCGATCCGGTCTGACATGTGGTTCTTTCCCCTCTCTTCCCTCCCTTCTTCCCAGTGCGCCAGTCCGGTCCTCCCGGTGTACGTATGTGTGTGTGTGTGTGTATGTGTGTGTGACAGAGATGGAGAGGAGTGTGTGTAGGTGTGTGCGCAGCCGGTCCGATAAGATAAGTCACACTGGACTCAACACCCGACAGCATCTCTCTCTCGCTCTCCCTCCCTCTCTCTCTCTCTCTCTCTCTCTCTATCCCTCTCTCTCTCTCCAGATATGATTAAACCGTGCACGCGCCCCGTGGGTGGCTCCGCGCGCATATCAGTGTATTTCCCACTGGAGCGATAGGATCATGTAGATTTGATGGGGAAAAGATATTCTCACAAGATGTTTAGGCAGGCCCTGTGAGAGTGTGAAAGAGCTTCAGTGTGTGTGTGTGTGTGTGTGTGTGTGTGTGTGTGTACACGTCTGGGGACAGGAAGACAGGAAACACGGGGCACCTACACACTTTGCGCTTCTGCTGCTGATGAAACTTAATGAATCCTCAGCCATCCTCTCCACCTCCACTCATAGGATCATTTCTCTGTGCCCTCAAACCATTACTGTCTTTTTCTTTCTCTCTGTCTTAATGATAATTGGTTGATTTCAGTAACGCCCAGTTAGTGAGTTAATTTACACCTGTGTTCACACAGTACAACCTTCTCCTTCAAGCTGGTTACCTGAGTTTTCTTTTGGCCACTCAGGGGCAGGACAAGGCTGTCCTATCATTAAGTTGATATGCAAACAGTTGCTCATTAAAAACTCTATTATGCTTCCCAAAAGACTCGGCTGACACAGAATCATGATGAGGAATCGTGACGAGGAAATGTTTGGATCTTTTATACCCTGTGCAGCAAAGAAATGTTTGCCAGCGTTCTCCCAAAATGAAGAGGGCAGTGTATCGAAAAGTTATCAATTTAGAAATTGTCAGATGTGCACAACAGGTGAAAACCGGCCACATGAGACTCTCGCACTCTGCAAGTGCAGAACAAAAGTTTCTCACTCCAACCTCGTCACATATCAGTGTTTGGTCATGGACTTTCTACTTCCACATACAGTGTGCAAGGTACCCTGGGTGCCTTGGTTGTTGACATTCTGGGATACCATGTCAACTCCTGCCTGTTAAGCCTCGTTCACATTACAGGATTTTCACCCCGATTTTTACGTCTCAGAGGATCTTGAGAGCCACCTTGTGTCGGAGGTGAGTCGGCAGATGTCTGCCACGACGAGTCCTCATGTGTGAACAAGCCTACGAGCAAGTTGCCCCCTCATCTGAGACTGGGACTGGATATCTGGCATGCTAGAAAACTGGAGCAGTCTGACATGACTGACAAAGAGCATCAGCCAATGAGATGCGGGATATGTCCCACTTCAGCACGCAGGAGGACGGAAGAAATATGAGGAGGACAAGCAGGGTTGCCAGGTCCGCTTATTAGCCGCACATTTCCCCCTGGCGCCATTACACTATAATGGCAACCAGCCACGTATCATGCTGGCATTTTTTCGTTGGTGTCTGATGCAGCAAGTCACTGCCCAAGCACCGGATTTCGACTACTTTGGAGTGAGACCATCCATACAAGCAGCTTATTATGACCTATATTTCTGTGATTTGTTAGGCAGCGGCCTCTAGTGGCCATAGTCATTATGTCAAAGAAGTTAACCAGGTCAGCAAGTATAAAGAGCGAGAAAGTCCACATAGGGATGTGGTCAGGGTGGATTGGTCAAACAAACACAAGACTTTCCCCAGGAGACCACTGTTCATACCATATTTAACTAATGTCACATACATAACATAAGGTAACTCAAATATGTTACTTAAATTACATAATGAACACACTTATTTAAACCCAAACTATGTTGTATTTTGAACTTAACCAAATAGTTTTGTTGCCTAAACATCACAGTGTGTAAGTGTGACCATTTCACAACATGAACCACTTGTTTGGAATTGTGATCATTAGTACATGCACCTGACTCTGGTACTTTCCAGCAGTCATATATGTCATTTTTAGAGCCATTGGCAAACAACTTACTCTTATGTTAAGGTATGAGGATGTGTTGTTTCAGAGCAACATTATATTTCTGGCCACCTGATGAATGAGAGCCCAGTATTTGCACTCTTTACAATCAACCAACCGACCGACCAACCGACTGACCAATCGATCAGTCAATCAATCAATCAATCAATCAATCAATCAATCAATCAATCAATCATTTATTGTTACATGGAATTATATATGGTACAATTCCAGTGAAATGTGATTCCATCAGCACTTTAACTTTTGCACTGTAATTTAGTCCTTTTATTGTGTCTTCATACATCCTTGGCTGCTGCTTCACAGTCACCCATGTTTCCAGATGGTTCTGGTAATCCATAGTTTCTGGCTGTGGAGTGATTTAAATGTCATAACAAGACCAACAAGACGGCAGCATGATCGCTCCTCTCAAACAGGGGCAGCGCAACATTGCAGCCACCTCTGAACGGTGTACAACAGTGATCCACGGTAGGACCTTGACAGCACCTCATGTTCCTGTCGTCTCACCATAGTCCTCTGCTCTGTCAGATCGGCATATAGAAAAAGAGAACCCTGGCTAGATGGCGCTGTCCAGGATTTAGCCAAGTATTAGTGAATCAAAGGATATTACAGTTCCTGATATCCCAACCGATGTGGTGCAGAGGTTGTTCAGATGCTTGTTCAGCTGGTGCCAATCCGTCTCCATCTTTCCTCGATGTTTACTGATGTTTACATCTGAAAACATCTACCTGGCTAGCTAGCAGTTAGCTAGCTGGAAGTTGGCAGAGTTTTAGAGACTGGTGAGTTGATTTCCTCATCCCACTGAATGACCTGCAGCCACACACCACCACCATCCAAAGCCAACCACAAAAAGCACCATCAAGACTTGCAAAACAGACTTAAGAGCCTAATTTAGCCTAAATACAGCACAAATTTAGTAGAGCTGACAGAGAGGCAACTGGAATCATCCGAGCCTTTATCTTTTATCTGTTAGCTCTGTTTTGGTCTCCACCAACTCCTGAGGGAAATACTAGGCCCTTTAGCTGCTAAAGGCTCCACTATGTCCACCAGCTAGTCTCTATCTCTGCCTGTCTGCTGTTTGGTGCTGAGCAGGTAGTGTCCAGCTGCCAGCTGCATGTGAAAATTATGCTATTAGAACAGAGAGTACACCAAAACAGGGAGTAATTTATAGGCTGGACTTCTAAACAAAGGGCTGAAACTTGCTATAAAGCTCTAGAACAACGAGGCCAGCTGCAGATTAAGCTGATTAAAAATATCAGTTACAGCCACTTAAAATTACATTTATGTACTACATCATTAACATTATTAACACTTTAAAGGGGATCTATTGTACTTTTCCTAATTTTCTGTCGTATATATGTTACGATAATAGATGTTAAAATTTAACATGACCAAAGTTTCACGAAATTAGGTAAATGTATGTAAAAGTAATCTCAGTCAGGTTTCAGACCATCATCAGACCATTCTTAAGACTCTGTTTCCAACATTTTTACTTCTTTGGAACAAGATTACATCAGCTCAGAATAGATTTCTTCATGTGGTCACCACATTTCTTTATAGGGTCAGCTGCTCCAGACACGCTACTCCAAGTGTTTACATTACACTGCTACATGTAGCTACATGCTAATGTCAGGGAACATGATCTTGGTTTCATGATGTTGATTTCAACATGTGCTCTGAGAAACTCAAAAGTACATTCATAATAAACCCAAAAATGAGCACAGTAGGTCCTCTTAAAACATCTGAATGGCTCATTTGAGCATACCAACAGAGTTTCATGCCCCTCCAAGGCACAAGTACTGTTTTTCCACTGTTTCTGTGTCCAGGATTTTTTGGACAGGCCTAAAGTAATGGTGCACTGGAGCCATCCTTTACATAATCCCTCTTCTACCTTATACAGGAAATACTGTGTTACTACAAATGTTGACTTAGAGTGCAATGCAACAGTATCGATTGTTTCACCTTGTGTGTGAGTGGCAAGTTTGCTACGTCCCACAAGCTCTCTTAGCTCTTTCAGTTTAATAAATACATGAATAAACATCTGTTAAATGCCACAGTCACAAGATATACAGCCACCACTAACGTACCTTTTAGCCTTTAGCCCATATCGGCTATTCGGCCTGCTGACATTTATTGTGCTTTGCTAACGTGAGCTGCTGTTAGAGGCTGTCGCCACCAGAGACTGTTGATAACCCGAGACCACCCACTCTGGATTCATTTCCTGCATCTGTGTCACATGGGTTTCGCCACTGCCCCACCCCTTTAGGAGACTATCGGTGGCCCAGAGTCTAGTCATTCCAACGGAAAAAGTGAACTTGAGTACAAATTATGACCGTTTCCTTTGCCCCCACAGTCGCTGAAATAAACATTGGACCCATTTTTCACAGGCCCTGACCCTTTGACACTGAAATGGCATTTTTTCAGATGAATAAATCAGAAGAAAATTAACTTTATTTGAAACATGTCTTTGTTTTTGCAACACACTCTCGTGACATCATGCAACAAGTGACATAACCTTTCACTCAGCTGGTATCAGACATTAAAAGAGATAAAATAAAGAACAAACATTAATCATTACATTATTGTACTGTATTTAGTGCTGCACTGTTTTGAACCTGATTCCGTCCATCCACACGACGTTTACAACACTTCCAAACGAGATGGGGGGATGCGGGGGAGAGACAACCACGCCTACTTGGGAGAACGGAAGTGTATACCATT